GTGTCCTGGCATCGCTTCGTGACAAGCGTTCTCGTTTAGTTTCTTGTGACGAGGTATTAGTAGCCTTCGTCATGGATGCTATGGCCTGCTCAATTGCTTTTAAACTTTGCCTTGTTTCTTCCATGTCTTATGTAAGTTTTTGTATTGTGATGCTACCGTTGAGTCTGATGGTTTGGCTTTGTTGACAGTTTCTCTTGGATTCGTGCTTGATGAAGAAGAGTTGCTCATTTTGGCTTTGCTTCTGGAATCTGGGGTGCTTCTGCTAGGAAGTGATGAATTTTCTGAATTTTCCATGCGGTATTCATGGATCAAAAAGAACTCGGCCCCACGGTGGGCGCCAAATGTTAACAATAAAAAATAGAATAGATGGTGTGGAACCAAGATCTTTGTTGATAAAAAGAGTTTACAATGGAGAGAGAATGATGATGGAAAAATAATCTGCCTCCTTGGGTTTATCCTAGGGGTATTTAAAGGATTCCTAATTACAGTTTATTTAGGAATACAATTTTATTCAATTGGTGTTTGACTATTGTTATCCTATCTGGATTTATTCCATCCTTACTTTGATAGGATTATCTCTAGATTGTCTCCATGAGTCCTACTTATCATGGGACTTTGTTTTATGGTATAACAATATGTCCATGTGAATTAATTACAAACTTTAATATGGGATTTCAGCTTTGAATCTAACGACTATACTATTCTATATGTTCTTGAAGCTTCCGTCAACTCATGAATATGTAAAGAATATTTTTACCAATTTAAATGACTAGGCCTTTCAAAATTTATATTTTTACCATCTCCCCAACATCGATAAAATAAAAAAAAAAAACAATATTTTCCCTTCCTTATATTACATTAGTTAGGGCTAAATTCAATAAATAATTCATTAATTATGTAATTTATTTCAGTTTAATTTAAAAACAATTTTTTCTTTCAAAATAATCTAAAAACTATTAATTTTGTTTCAAAATAGTCTACTTAACAAATATTCTGTTAACTAGACTAACAGAATGTTTGTCTAAATAAGTTGATGTAGACAAGTTGCCCCCTAAACTTTTGAAAAATATTAAATATAATACATATATTTTTGTTTTTTGTAATATTTTGTTTTTAAAATTTAAATTCTATGTTAAATGTAATAATTAATTAAGATAATAATTTTAATTTACAATAATCAATATTATAATTTAAATTTTATTACTTCTTAAAAAACTTAATATCATTATTAAATCACATATTTTTTTCACTAATTTGTATAAAAAAATAAAAAAAATTATTTTTATTTTTAACATTAATAACACATACATGATTTTAATTTGGGAATTTATAAAATTGAAATGAATTTTTATTTTTTAGATAATTTTAATTATGTTCATGTGTTCATTTAATTAAATTAAATTTTGGAAATGTTTATTTATTAAAAATATTAAATTTAATAATAAATTAATTTTTTTAGAAA